TCATTCCTTTCAAAATTAACCCTTTTAATTAATGGAAAGAATACTATGGTAAAGGGTGCTGTTACTTTAAGTTTCTTGCCACGCTGCATCACAGCAGGTGCTAGTATTTCCTAGTTCTCCCCAGCAGTGCCTTAGGTTTGTAAACTTATTTTTCCAGGGCTGTTTGGTCTTTGGGAGGACTTGTCCACAGGTCTCGGTGTTCGTGTTCCTCCTGCCTATGCTGACGATCTTGGAGGCTGAAAGTATCACTTGTGAGACCGCTTCGTTGCTCATTAAAACACCCACCAAGGCAGATACTGCCACTGCTGCTGCTTGCTTTGGGACTGGTGCTGGGCACGTGTGCTGGCCACAAGGGTATTTCAGTTTGAAGCTGAAATAAAAACCGCCTTTATTAAAATAGTTTGGAATGCTCTGAAATTTTATTTTGAGGAACTTCAGCATTGAATAAGATGTTTTCCTAGGAAGAAATGGGTGTTTAATGAAATCCAGTTTTTCTGCTGGAATAAATTTTAGACAACAGATTGCAGGCAGTTTAATTTTGAGCATGGACACTCAGCACTCAGCACTCAGAGTCAAGTAGAACTGTACTTTCTTTATGGGAATAAGGTTGCAGTAGCTTAATAACTGGTGTGAGGCAAGGTGTCCCACTGAAAATTTTTTTCTTTACAAGCATGACAACCCTCATCTTTAGGAAAAGAGTGCTTAAAAGTCACTGTAGGTAAACAGGAATAGTTTAACACTTCTTACACGAACAATGAGAAGAGAATTTGATCAATCATATAGCAGAAAGGATACATATAATTTTATGTGAACAATATAAAATTGATCACACTAATGTGAAACAGCCTTTGGATATTTGAAAAAATTGTTTGCTGTACTAGGAATAGTTAAAGGTGAAAATGTTATTTTGCACTTATTGGGACATGGTGCTGGACTTTTATATAGCATTTTGCATGCTGTTGTTCAAGTGAGCACTGATTTACTCCCTCTCATCATTTTGGCAAGAGCTTTTTGCTATCTTCAAGCCCCCCCTTAGCTTTTGGAGGCAGAGAAAGGAGAATCTAAATGTCAGTGAGAAAAGGAGACTTCCCAGCTGATGGAATTGTAAAGAAAAACCTGAAATCTCTCCAGAACTTGGGGCAAAAAAAGCCAGTACCTCGTAGAGCAAAAGCCACTGTCTGTGCATACATATACCTGTACATTCTTCTATCTATACACATATATTTTAAATACTTTCACTTAAAATCACGCTTTTAAAAAAAATCTCCTGCATTTTAAGAGGCTGGCCACACCAGGTGTCCATCACTGCTGTCCCAGCTCCCCAAGCTAATGCTCAGGTGCACCCACTAACTTCTGGACCCTTTTCCACAGTCCCTCTGCTGCCACATGCACTTGCCAGCCAGCTGCTGCCAGGAGTTACTGCTTTGGTGGCGTGGTTACGCCATGGGGGGAGCCTGATATCAGGGGAAGGCAAAGGCCTTGCTGGAATTAAATTGAACTCAAGGACAGGTGGGCAAGGAGAGCCCACTAGACTCCCAGGACCAATGCACATTGCAACCCCCAGCCCAGAGAACTACTAGGGGCTTGCACATCCACCTGGGCAGGCTGCCATGGCCCCTTCCCAGGCTGAGGAAATGATATGGAAAGTGGGAAAAGGATCACATATGCTGGGCACCTCCCTGGGCAGCCCAGGGAGGCAGGAGGGTCCCTGCTGGGGCCTGCCCAAAGTGCTGTCCTCCTCCTTCCCATCACAGAGGTATTGCTCTTGGGGGGAGTCTCTTTGTCCCCTTCCTTGGGTTGGCTCTCACAGTGGTACAGGCTCAGTGCCTGGGTGGAGGCAGTGCTGGACATCCTGGGGAGAAAAGAGTATGCTGGGGGGGTGGCAGGGCTGGGGCAGCCCCTGGAGATGGGGCAGATCCCCAGGGACCTACCACAGCTCTCGGTGCTGGCCTGTAGGGGTGATGAGGGCATCGGGGCTTTCTGCACAGCCTGAGGGTGCCTGGATACTGCTCTGTTGTGCGTCCATCTGTCCTTTCCGCTCCCTCCCCTGACCACTAGGACCCCCTTGCCTGGTGTCCCTGCCACAGGGGTGCTCATCATCCCTGGGACCTGCACACTTCTGTTTTCTGGGAAGCGCCCTGGGAAACCAATTGCCCAGGGCCGCTGGGACCCTGCCCCAGAGAGAGAGGACAGCTGGGCGAATCTGCCCCCTGGACTGCAGCACCGGCAGGGGTGCATATGGGCACAGGGGGGTGCCTAATGCTCACGGGGCACCACATCCTGGGACAAATGGTCTCTGCGGCCATGTCATGGGCTGGGGACATCTCCCTTGTGCAACACCCTGGTCTTTCAATCTACCTGATGGTGCCTCTGCCCTGAGCTCCCAGCTGACTTGGCTGTGCCAGAGCCCTTCCTGTGCCAGTCCCATGGCTGGCATCCAGTATATCCACAGCATGCAGGAGATCACACCAAGAGCTTTCCCTTCCTGAGCAAATGCCCCTTGTACATGCCTGAACATCTCATAGACAAGACAGTTGTCTGCCTGTGAGTGTGTACCCACAGCAGTAACTGCCCGGATTCAGCTCATGTGTGGGGAGTTTCATGGGGAGGCTGGAGAGGACAAATGCATAGCATCCATGGGCAATGGATGCGCTTGAAGCACAGGCTGGTCTTTGGGGTGTACAGACACTAATGCCACCCTGTGCAGCCGGCTGGCAAGCCAAAAGCCGTGGAGGGGCAGCATGCTGCCAGCTTCCCCCGGGTGCGTGGCCAGGAGCCCTGTCGACCCCCCTGTGCCGCCGGGGCTATCTCCTCAGCTTGGGCCATGCCTCTCCGCTATGCCCGGTGGGAGAAGGCTCCTTTCCCAGGCGGCGGCAGGTGCCTTATCCTCTTGTTGTGCTGTTTTCCTCCGTCAGCCGCTGCTTTTGCTCTCCTTCTGCTCCGGGGGCTCCTTGGCAGCCCTCAAGGTCGAGGACCGGCGGCGGCCGGGCGGGCAGCTGTGCGCAGCACCAGGCCGGTGTTTTCGGGGGATACCCCCGCGTTCAAGGCTGCCGCTGCTTTCCCACGCCCGGCACAGGTGCTGCGGGACCCGGTTCTCACAACAATCCCAAGCCGATAAGGCGGCCACGCACAACGGGACGAGACGGGCCAGCGGAGCGGGGGGAGGGGGGGATGGCTTGGGGACCCTTTACATCCCCCAGCTCTTGTGGGGCGGCGGGCCCGAGCGTGCGCGGCCTGGGACCGCAGCTGCCCTGCCTGAGGCCATCCCCCCTCGCCACCAGACCCTGGCTGGAGGCTCCCCGGGTCAGCCCGGCGCAGCCCCCGCGGTAGCGGGGCGGGCC